AGATCAGAAGAATTTCCTAGTTGATGTTCTCTATAAGAGATTACTTTAAGGATGTTCTATATATGCACATACATACATAGATATATATCTTGCATAAGACATATAAATAATACATAACACAAATAATACAGAATCCTGCAAAGATTCCAGAATCCTGCAAATACACAATGCCCCATTAGTTATTACCAGTTACCTGAGTCAGTGGGACAGATCTTATTTTTATATTATTAAACAGCCTATTGATCTAATTAAATACCTTCTGCATGGTTCAATAAGAAATTGGTCTACTCAGAGTACTAAAGAAACAACCTAGATTATTCTCTGTAATACTAATTACTAGTAAATAACATCAATGTTATTTAAAAAGAGAAAAAATATCACAGCATATTGTTTCAAATTCTTGATCTTGTTGAGAGCTACTAGACCATGGACTTTTCCCAAGATAGTAGCATTATTATTTATGTTATCTAAATTATGATGATAAAAAATTAAATAGAGCTAAAGAATTTATGGTGCTTTACATTTTCAGAGTTCTAATATACATATATTCATCAGTTCATTTACTAATTTTCCTCTCACACAGTATGTAAGAAAATATAATCAATAAATATTTATGAAAAAAACAGAAAAAAATTTACGTGCATTTTTTAAAACTTTTTTGTTATTGTTGTGTTTTTTTAATATCATCCTCCTTAAGGCAATTTGAACCTAATTTTCAGAAGGACTTGTGTCATTATTCAGACAACTGAGCAGCAAGAAGAATTTGGTATCCTACTATTGTACGTGTAGATTGGTGACACTTTGGTGATGGGGCGTGTTGGAGTTTAGTACAATCTGCATACTGAACTCCTAAAATGCAGGATAAGTATAGTGTGACAGAAGGGTTTTCATGTGGACTTGAGCATTGGGAGCTAACCAAACGGAGCTATTCAAAATCCATGTGGCCTTCAGCTCACCACTTAGCTTGTTCAAATACTGTATTTCTCTCTATTTTAGTGAACAATGTTACCACAGACTGTTGTTTTTAAAACAAACAAACAAACAAATAATGTATCATTCTGGGAAAAGTGATAGTAACTGCAGAAAGACTACAAAGTCTTTTTAAAGCTATACAAGGTAGCAAAATTAGGGAGAAAGCATCTACAGTCCTGGTTTTCAGCATGCCACATAATTTGTTACTTCGTAGATTCCCGCACTGTCATTCCCACCACAGCATCTGAGCTTCTTTCAGTAGCGTTTAAGCAATGTGAATATCTTTGTTTCACATGTGGTTTCTTCTCTAAACCACAGTGTCCCACCCTTTCCCTCATGTAACAAGGTTTCCTCCTGGTTCTCAGGGAGCCAGGTCATGACACTCTGTGTGTGTGTACATATGTATTTACACATGCATGCTCTATAAATACATGTAGTTTCTCCCCAGGTTGATCAAAGAAACTGAATCTTGCTCAAATCTAGCTTGAGTGAAGTGTTTTAATTTTAAACTCAGATAAGAAGAGTAAAATACAGGTACAAAGGTGTTTTTTTTTTTTTTTCTTTTTGAAAACACTTTTAAATAGGCCAAACCCCTTCTTTCCAAACATTGTATATGTCTGCATCAAGTTTCCCAAGAGAAGTTGTACCCGAGTATAATATTTCAAACATAGTAACTTGAGTGATTAATTCTGACAAAGATGGGAAACAGACATTGGTATTGGAGAAACTAAAATTTCCCTGTACTATAAAGTAATTGGTCTTGTATAAAAATCATTTTAATGAACATTTTCTCCTGTAATAGTGCTGGGAAATTGTGACTATGAAGGAATGGCTTTTTTTGAACCTTCACTGCTGTGCACTGGCAGGTCAGTCTGGGCAAAGTGCAGGGCATTGCATTAATCTGTGTTGAATTTCACATGGTTCCTGTCAGTCCATTCTCTGGCTTGTCTAGAAGCAGCCCTCCCTCTGAACATTGAATATATTTATGGGATAAACACTGCAGCTATTAATTACTGGTTTATGTTGACATTAATATTTTTAAATAAAAATCACATCCTATTGAAATTTTAGAGGAAATTTCAGTGTGATTATGAGGTGGAAGCTTTAGGCTTATTAGAATCTGAAACTCCTATTACAAAGGGTGTAAATGCTTTTTTATTAGCTATAGTGATTAAGACCTTCATTTTATACCTAATTTCAGGGAGAACTAATGGCTCCATAATGTCTCCCATCATACCGGAGCACAAGTTCGGCTCCTGAAAATTACAAAGAGGGCGGGACCTTGGCTCTACTCTGTCACGGTGAAAAGAGTGCCACCTACTGAGCCTGTGGCTCGGTTTTGCAAACTTAAGTATGCAAAGCATAGTCTTTAATCCAAATTCTGACTCAGTGCAATCCAGTGTATTAATGATATGAGTCGATGTTGTTACACTACAAGATGTGTCTGTACAAGCCAAAGAAAATGAAGATTTTATATGCTGATAGCTGGGAGATCTTCCAATCTCCTTCAGTGTAGTAACAAAATAATGACGTAACAGGGAATGCGTGTGCATTAAGTTTTGTCATGGTAAAGCTGATAGAGGTGCAGCCATCGTGTAGTCTCAGCATATGCTGAGAATAGGAGAAAGAAAAACTTTTAAAAAGCATAGCAAGAGCTGTTACTGAAAAGAAGAAAATTATGATGGCTGGTTCTGGAGAAGATGTAAGGACCATGTAATGTGAGGAATGGAGAAACAATTTAAGAGTGTATAACTGTAAAATCCTTACAAAACACTTCATGAAACTTTTATTGTTTGGTAAGGTAAACACTAACATACAGCTCTAGAAACATCATGGTGTCTTTGAAGTGTTTCTTCTATTTTAGATCCATAAACTAGTTGGTATACCTACCTGCTTGCTTGTTTTTGTTCTCATCCCATTTGGTATGTTTAGGAAATACAGTCATCCTTTTCTACAGATTTTGCATCTTACAGTGTGTTTCAACTTTGTCCTTATGGTTACTATGTTGTCTTTGGCTCAGCATTCCTATCTACTTGATACATTATTTCGGAGGGAAATATCAAACCCAACAAGTTAAAATATCTCTTAGAGAAGGGTAGAAAGCACACTCCCTACTCTGTGCAATGTTAGCTTCTGTAGCCGGATGATGACGTTTCTGCCATTGCCTGCTGCTTTTATGTGATTAAGTATTGTGAAACGCAAGATGCTGCTCATCATTTTACTCCCAGCCTCCAAACAGGTGAAGTAGAACATGCATTTGTTCTGTCTGGAACAAAGAGATACACTTTGCTGTTAGGACATGATTTAAAATCCCAGAAGACTGGTGGGGTTCAGGTTTATTTTTGCTTAGGTTTGTTCTTCCCCCAGTGAAAGCTGACATGAGTAATTTCAATCTCAGTATCTGACGTGCTTCATGGGAGGTACCGATTGCCTAACATAACAGAGAGGAAATAACTCCAGTTTATTGAATCTCTCTTTTCAATCTTTATTAGGGCAAATTAAATTAATGAGTTGTATGCCTTTGACTACAGATATTTATTATATGTTCAATAATTTATGTTTTCTTTACATATTAGGTAATTTGTGATCATCTGGGAATATTCTTTCTGTATTGATTTAAATAGCTGTTGACCTATTGTTCCTGTCTATCATGAGTTTTGAAGACCAAATGTATTAATGGTGCTATAGCGGAGTTTTCCTGAAGGTCCTATTGAGACAGTGTTGCATCAAACGATACCTCTGGTTGTGAAAGAAAAAACACCTTTACCAGTAGTACCTGTGGCTACTATTTTGCTCTTCACCACCATGTGTCTCACTGTTATCCTCTGCACCATGACAGGAAAAGATTGGGTGTGGTAATTAGACTGCTGACCTGGGACTCATCAGAGTAACCTGGTTATGTATCTGTAGTCATAGGCAAGTCACTTTTCTGGGCTCCTGTTTCTATATATCTTGAGCTTCCCTGGTAAAAAGTTCTGCAAGGAGCTATTGTGAAAGAAACATGAACTACAGTGAACAGTACAAAAATTACTTCTGTAATTCACTCTATAAGGCAATACATGCTGGAAGGGAAACTACCCTGCCGGTCTGGAAAAAAAATCCCAAAATCCAGCAATGCTGCTGGATTCAGTGTGCACTGAATGATCTGAGCCTGGATGGAAGGTAAACACTTGGCAACGTGCACACTGGAGAAAAATGTTTGGCATTTTCATGTTGCTTGATGTTTCCCTGAATGTGAGTCTAATCTGTGAATGCTGTCTAAAGGTTATTTTATAATCTTAAAGTTTCACTGATTGTTAACAAACTCGAGTAGTAAAGCAGTCTATAGAGGGAGCAATGACAAAGCAACTTCTTTATTTCCTGCCTTAGTAGGGTAGAGTAGCATACCTACATTTGTCAGCACACTGTGTTTTTTATTCTCGGACCAAGGCAGCAGAAGAAGCCATATTCCAGAGGAGGAGCTGGACATTTTTAGAAGCCTCAGAAGTATGAGTTATTGTGAAAGTAAATTTCAGGTGTTGGTAAAACAGCCAGCAATAGAGACATGATCTGAGGATTTGCATTAGACTAGCATCCTTCCTCCCTTCCCCTTTTTTTTTCACTTTTTCTTCTGAAAAAGTGAAGAGAAAAGGGACCAAAAGGCAGAAATAGAAATGCATGTTTTCCTTTGGTACGGGTTTCCTTAGAAACCAAAAGTTCTTTTTCTTTAGAGAGAAAGGACACGAAGCCTTGTCTTGCTGAAGAGCCTGGCTCTGAACTCGGGGCATCAAAACGGTGCTTTCCGCTGGGTATCGGACACGGCAGTATTTTGCAGGGCTTGGCTTTCAAATCAGTGCTGCAAACTCTGCCCGCCCCTCACTCGTTGGGGATTTCCTCTCCTTCGTTGCCAACAGCAGCAACAGCCAAGCGCAGAAGGTCAAGCCGAGACCTGCGGACAAGGGCAGGGGGCCCAGGCCCATGCCGGGATGAGGCGCTGAGGGCCGGCGGGAAACTGCGCCGCGGAGGGAGGAGGAGGAGGAAGGCGGGAGGAGGAGTTGAGGAGCCCGGGCCCGGGAGCCTCCCCGCTTACTGCACTAGGAAGTGACGCTTTCGCTGAGTCCCGGAGAGAAAGAAACAAAGTTTGTTTTTTTTTTTTCCCTCCTCCTTCTTCCCTCCCGCCCCCCTCTGCAAACAGCCGCTCCACGTTCCCCTGCGGCGCCCTCCGTGCCTGGCTGCGCAGGTGAGCCAGCACGTTCTCTTTCTTCCTTCTCCTGTTTTCCGCGCGGTTATTATTTTTTTTTAATTTGCACGATTTGCTTCCGTTTTCCTGCCATTTTGGAGAGGGGGTGTCTTTCCTGGGGCTTTTTTTTTGTGGGTGGTGTTGCGTGCTTTGTTTGTGGGTGCTGGGTGCAGGATGAGGAGCAGAAGTACCTGTGGAGGTGACGGGGGCGGCTGGCTCCGCGCCCGGGCCGCGCAGCCCCACGGGGCCGGGGCAGCAGCGCTCCCGGCCCGCCTGCTGCGGGGGACCAGGCTCGGCTGCTGAGCCATCGCCTCCTGCCCTACCCGGAGTTGTTACGAGCGCTCCGGAGGGGTTTCTTCGCGGCTGCCAGGCTGCTGCACCGTTTTCAGGATGTGTCCGTGTCCGGGTGAGCTGTCTGCGGATGGAATTTTGGGGGGTTGGTTTGGGGCGGGGGGAGGTTCTCTTTGCTCGCGGCGTGGCGGAGCCGGGGCAGCCCGGCGTGTGCGGGGCCCCGGGTGCTGCGCGGGAGCCGCCGAGTCCCGGCAGCCGCTGGGCGCGCATCGTGGCGAGGGTCGGATCGCTCTGCTGGGGTTTACGCAGTGGAGGGGGGTGGGGAGGAATTTGTTAGATAATTTTTGAAAAATCCGTGCTCTCAAGTGTACAGATCTTTTCTGGCAGCAACTGCAAAAGACCGATTCGTTGCAGTTTAGCAGTAAAAGCTGACAATACACCTACGCGCGTATGTGAGAGTCTTATATAATACTTACGGTGTTTTTTTTAACAGGCGTAAGCAGGATTTATTTTTGGTTTGTAAAGTCTTGTGTGATTGCAGCTTGCAGAATTAGCGAAATATTCGATTTGCTCAACAGAGATTTACTGTACATTCTTTTAGAAACATCTAATTTTTTATTAATAACTTTATTTCATCCCGACTACGTGTTTTGAGCTTAGTGTAAAGGCCATCTATACTGGAGCAAGCAGTTCAGGGAGGGGAAGAGAGAAAAAGAAATGTCCTAATGCAGAGACTATTAGGTTGTTTAGAGGGCGAGACTGCAGTTCCAAGCAGCAACAGCAGCAGCTTTATGACTGTGTGTAATTACAGAGTGATTGCATAGGACAGCATTGTTGGAACGAATACGTATACACAGGCTATTGAGCAAGATTTCTGTACCGAACAAAACCTAGTTTTGCATTGCAAATGCTAAAAAGAGAATGTGTTCTGCAGTGAACTGCCACGTTCCTCTTTGACTCCTTCATAGACTTGGAAGAGGAAGATAGGAGAAGTGGAGTGAGGCTGATCGTAGAAATCACAGATCTGAAATACTCAGCAGTAATGCCACTAGTAGTTTCTGAAATCACAGCAGACAGAAATTGAAAGCCCATTGAATCTGCGGGATCATGTTTCTAAAGTGATTATATACAAGGTGAAATCTAAGCAGGTTTGCTACAGTCCTGCACATTTAGCATAATTATTGATCTGTTCTCATTTTTTGTATGCTTGTGTGGGAAAAAGACCTATGTTAAAATAAGCAACTGCAGTTTAGCTAGCTAGCTTGGAAATGGAGAGAAGAGCTCTGGGGAGAGTTTCTGTGTCAGGCTACAAAACTTAGAGCCTGAAAGAACTACCAGACCAGAGATTTTCTCAGAGCATGCTTTTTCAACTTTAATTCAAAAGTTGCATCTGGTTCAGCGATCTTGTAGGCAGTGTTGGCTGAGGGATAGTATGAGACACTGAGAAAGTGTGCCACTGACACTGTATTAGCAAGGCTTTTTACCAAGACTTTAAAGAACATCATAATTATGCTAAAGTTCTTGTGGATACAACTTAAGGTCTCTAAGATTTCTTTTTCAGCAATGCTGGTCACCTGTTATTTTTATCAGCTGAGTTTTGAGAGTACTTGGAATCAATGGCATATCAGATCTGAAAAATTTCAGATCTGGTGCTCAGAGACTGGCCTTTCTAACATTAGAGACAATTTTCTAGAAGTGTTATCTTCAGCTATTATAGCTGATGTCTTAATAAATGCCACAAAGGCTTGTAAAGTATTTTGAGCACTGCAATGAAAAGTACAATAAAAATGGGAAGCTGCTTTTAAATTTCATGGTGCTCCACTACAAAATATTTTAGCTGAAGGCACAGATCATATTATTGGTAGTTTCCTCATGTTGTCAAAAAAATGCTTCATGTAAAATACTTGTGGCTTTGTTAATGAAGAATGAAGGGATCTGCTGATGGTGTTTTTTGTGTTTTGTTTATTGGGGTTTTTTTTGTCATTTGACAAACAATCTTAGTGATTCTTCTGTACGTTTATTGGAGCATTTTGCTTTAATAGAACATATGAAATAAATATGTTAATACATGCATTACTGTGATGTTCTACTTGTAGATTTTGCTTGAAATTGTACTTCATATCTTGACTAGCTTGACAATCTATGTTATACTGGATGTTCTAATGTCAAAATTACCTCTGCAGTAGTTCTTAAAGATTTCTTGAATCATTTGTGGTAGTGATTCAATATAGTCATTCCTTATGCTAAGTCCTTTGGTTTTCACAACCTATGTGGTAGGAGAGAGTTTTTGGCCAGGATTCTTTGGACTTGTATGCAAAGGAGTAGGTAACTTGCACGTCCTTGAGTTGTCCTGTGGTTCTCAGTGGAATTAGTCATAGATATATATACATTAGTGTGCATGCTTGCAAAACAAAGGTGTAGCTGTGCTAGCCTTTAACCCATCCAGGTGCATGCAAGTAGTGATGATATGAAATTATGAGAGCTGTAGCACAATGCAGGCTTTTCAAAAGCCTGCATAAATGCTCCAAATGTTAGTTTACATTTTTGCATTTTCACTCTTATGGTCACCTGTCTGTGGTGGCTGCAGAACCATGGGAGATATTTTCAAGCCTGTCATCCCTTTCAATGATACTCTTCTGTCAAGCTGCTAATCAAGCTCTGACTTGAGGACATGCAGCCTTTCTTTGGAAATGGCCACCTTGGTGCTGTGTGTGTGGAGGTGTACCCAGGCATGTAAGGAGACAAGAGGGACTGCCATGAATCAGAGTGGAAATCTGTCTAGCCTGTGGCCCTGTTTGCAAAGGTGTATATATTTTCTATATGCTTAGCAGCTCTTGAAGGATTTCTACACAAGGAACTTACATAGTTTTCTGTTGAGCTTAGGTAAACATTTAGCAAACACCTTTTTTTAACCTACTGATCAAATTGTGCAATAAGAATGTTCGTAAAAGCTGCTTTTTTTTGGTCGTTGTTTCACTTTTTATAAACACTCCCCCCATAATAAAAAATAAAACACCCAAAGTACCAAAACTCTGGGGTTTTTTGATTTTTTTTGTGTGTGGGTTTTTGTATTGTTTGTTGTTTTTTTTTTGGTTTTTTTTTTTGGTCTGCAGGATTGCATAAAATCTTAGTACTGTTTGCAGTAAATTAAAGTTTATGCTAAAATGAAATATAGTAAATATGAATATTGTCTCCAGTGCAATTAGTTACAGTCTAAGAGACATGAAGTGAGAAGTAAACCACGTTTTGTGAAATGGGGATGTGAGGAAGGCAGGAGCTCTGGTGGTGAGGTTTTGCAATACATGCTCAAAAAGTTGCAGGTTCTGGCACGAGCAAACCAAGGCTCATGAGTCACATCCAAAGGGAAGACTTGTCACTGAGCAATTTGTAAATAGGAGGGATGAGCTGCTAATTCAGGGAAATATCCTGAGGACCTTCCCTAATAATTGCAAGTGTGGCAGAGAGAGCTTTATGTCAGACGGGAGTTGCTTGTACTTTGAATCACAAGTTCCCCCGGTGTGATTTGAGCCTTCAAACTAAGAAATCCTTGTTACGCGTTGCACACGTCCCTGAAAGAGGCGGCTGGTCAAGTCATAATGTAAGTTTTTGCAGCTGCATAGCAGCCACTTGCATTCTGTGTGGCAGCTCCAGCAGCTCGCAGTGCACAATTGGCAGGTGCCTGCAGCGGGAGGCTGCTCAGGAGCACTTCACAACACTTTGCACAGCTTCTTTTTCTGAGCGGTCTCCAAATGTAGCCCTTAGTGCTCTGCTGATCGACTCCGGTGACTGAAACAGTTATGAAGGAAAGCTCTACTCTGCACACCGGGAAAAAGTGTGAATGCATGCATTTTGAATGCAGTCCGAGTATTTAGGAGCAGTCATTCGAATATAGATGCAGAGATAATCTTGGTAATTAATTATTTGCTTTTCAGGTTCTTGATGCTTTTTATTGTATATTGTGCAACTGACAGACACCAGATAACAAGTCTTAAATTAATATAATTCATTAATCTGTAATATTATGTACAGCTATTCATTGAAATGTACATACCCCAAAATTAATGTTCTTTTTATGTACAAGTAAATTACATGAATGCCCCTTGTTGAATTGGTGGCTGGTGTTAATCAAGTTGAAAACTGGGAAAAACTAGATTGGGAGGGTGTGGCAAAATGTTCAGTGTTTGTTAATTTTTAGTTTCTTCTTAAATACATTTTGAAGGGTTTACAGCAAAGCACAGAATAATGTTTTCCTTTTTACCCATAATTAGTGAAAATTAATGTTTAAGTTCTGTGTAGTTTGACTTTAGCATTGGTAAGGATTGAAAGAAGTTAAATGCTATTAGTACCTGAAGTGGTAAACTAAGAAACCGTTCTGATATCGTTTTTACTAAATACGTTGCTGATACATTACATATTCAGAGCTGGGATGTAAAGAGACAGGAAGAGGAATCAAGTCAGTGTTCATGCTTTGTTTTTTCTTTGCTGCCTGTTATCTTCTCACATTGGTTGTCAGTTGCTTGGCTTTCCACATCATAGGAGAGATTGCACTACAATGATATATATTGGTATATCCTCCTGTCATTTATTTTAGGAAGACACATTAAACGTTTGTATATATTTATATGTACACACACTATTTGTTATATACACTCACGTATCTCATTTTATAACTCAGTTCCCCTGAGAACAAGAGTTTCTTTTCCTTGTGA